CTTTGGTCTAAAAATAGTGGTGAATTTGAAGCGAACATGGTATAAACCCTGCAGAACACTGGAAAAATGCTACTCACTGCTAATGGGCCAACCTGCCAGAATCGAACCTAGTTCGCCATGGCGGCGTTCTATCATTTGCGTTCTATTATTGACTTTGGTAATAGTGACTATGCTTCATTAACAATTACTCAGATATTTCAGAGCATCTATCTGTTATTCATATTACAGCAGGATCACTTTTCCAGATACGAGGAATGGGTACTGTGGTTGTTTACCCATCACTCTCAACACTTCCAACACCGCTCCAGCAGAATATAACCGGAGATCCTGATCTAGTCTTCAGACTTGATTTTGATGTAAGTTACGAGCTTGTGCTGCAGCGTCATTTTGTGAGAAACTGGCACTGTTGCGATATGTGAGGCACTGAACAATGTCCTCTTTCAGTTGTAGGAATATTTCATGGATCTGAAAATTGACTGAACCATTAAGTTTCCGCAGGGGCGCCTAACTTAAATTAGCCCACCATGACCATTTTATACCTCCCACGATAGGTGACAGTTTATTTGGGACGGATTGAAGCCCTATTCCCCATTTTCCATGCTTTCATGTCAGTAAAAGGTGAAAGATGTTGGTAAAAGTGACAGTCTGATATTAGAGTACAATACAACTCATCGCTTATGATTGTTCCTTCAGTTGTTCTGTGGCAAAAGTGGCTCATGAACGAAACAAAGCTCTTTCCGAGTTCCAGTGAACAATGTGATGAATCTCCGAAGATTATAGCCATTTACAGGTATTAGCTGACTTAATCGCGAAGTTATTGGGCAGCACAACAACTGCCGCAGCCAGCACTGCTTCTGCCGCGGTTAGCACTGCTACTGCTGAGGCCACCACTGCTTCTGCCAGTACTGCTTCGGCAACCACTAAAGGCACTCCGGTGATAACAACCGTCAGCCCAGTGAGTTTCTTGACGCCATTTCCTAGCTCTACTTTTCTAACTGGATATTGATACGTCATTCTGCTTAGCATGGCTCCGTGACGTGATTTACGATTCCTTCTGGAGGAGCATTTTGCACAATTAGTAACAGCTGGGAAAGCTCAATTCGCGAGGAAGAAGCTGTTCTCTATTTAAGGATGGCGTGACTATTCCTGGAGTTGGGCCTGGTAATGGAATATCAGTTGTGGTACTCATCGACTTCACAAAATCGACCCAGAACAATTGGGATGCCGTGAGTGAACTTTGAACAGCATTTCTTTCACCCAGTTGTTACTGTGAATTTTCCAACGAGATCTTTATATCCCATTTCCTGTGACCATATCCTTTTGGTGGTAACCCGCACATAAGATATGAATCAGTATTGATCTGGTTGTATGAGCCCGATCGTTGGCTCACTCCAGCGCTCCTTTCCTCTTGTGCGGTACGGCCAAGCAGCGGGCGCTGCTTCAACGTGCTGCTGCTTCCAAAAAAGTTCTCCCCACTCCTTGCAGCTGCACGGCTGATCCAGGATTCCTATCCTATACCATCAGCTCGTTTGTAGACCGCTTGTGCGTTAATGCGAAGAAATAGTCAAAACTTCTCCCAATTTTTCCGAAGAATCGTGTTGCAGATC